GCTAGTTTTTGTTCTAGGTAGCAAGAATGTAGTAACAGAGAGTATAGGAATGATGGGGAGTTCATACTTGCGTATGAGAAGGTTGTCAGTAAACATTAGCAAGAAATAACTTGACTGAAGAGATTGCTCAGTGGCTAGAGGTATATCTTCCAGAGAACCAGAGTTCAATTCCTGGCACCTACTTCAGGCAGCTCATAATTGCCAACTTTATCCCTGGTAGATCCAATGCCTGTGGCTTCTGCAGGCAACTGCACTCATGTGCATGAACCCACACACAGACACATGTACGCATAATTGGCGAGTTTGCCAGGAGGTGGTGGCACACTCCTTTAATCTCAGCGCTCAGGAGGCAGAGGCAGGCAAATTTCTGAGTTCAAGGCCAGCCTGGTCTACAGAGCAAGTTCCAGGATAACCAGGACTACACAGAAAAACTCTGTCACAAAATAATAATAATAATAATAATAATAATAATAATAATAATAAAATAAATCCGTTTAAAAACTAATATACAAAACGACAATAAGTATACGGCCTGGTTTTATGTCAGTTCAACATGAGCTCAGGTCATTAGAGAGGAGGGAGCCTTATTTGAGGAAAATGTCTCCCTGCGATGGGATGTAGACAAGCCTTCTCTTACTAGTGATTGATGAACGAGAACCCGGACCATTGTGGGTGGGTCCATCTGTGGGCTGGTGGTCCTGGGTTCTATAAGGACACAGGTTGAGCAAGTCGTGGGGAGCAAGCCAGTAAACAGCACCTCATCATGGCCTCTGCCTCAGCTCCTACCTCAAGGTTCCTGCCTTGCTTGAGTTCCTGCCCTCAGTGCCTTTGGTGAACTGTGCCTTATATGGCACTGTGAGTGAAATAAACCCTGTCCTTCCTGACATGCTTTCTGTCATAGTGTTTCCTCGCAGAAACAGTAACCCTAAGACAGTAAGTTTTATGAAGAAAAGTGTAGCTGAGAACGTGGGAAGAGAGTTCTGGGAGAGACACTATAATTTAAAATGAGAGTACCTGGATGGTCTCACTGAGAAGGTAAAATCTGAAGAAACAGATCATCTAGAGGGAACAAAAGAAGAGCTTGCAAAAGAACAGTCTAGAGTGCAAGATGCCATTCAGGACTATGTTTGCTTATTGCATGGAAAAACACCAATAAGAAAGCTAGAAAAGCTAGAGCAGAATGGATGCAAAGGAGAGCCACAGATGAGAGCCATAGGGAGGTGACGGAGGATGGGCCCTACAGAGTCTTAAAAATACTTTTTTGATTTTGTTTGTTTGTTTGTTTGTTTTGTATGGCTGGTTTGCTTGAGTGCATGTGTGTGCACCATGTGTGTTCCTGTTGGAGTTCCTGGACACGGAACCCTGGATACGGGGTTACAAACGGCTGTGAGGTACCATGTGGACGCTAGGAATTGAATCTGAGTCCTCTGCAAAATAGCTCTTTTTGTTTGTTTTCATTTTTAGTTTTTATTTTTTTAAAGGTTTTTCTTGATGGAGTTCCTCTGTATAACAGCCCTGGCTGTCCTGGAGCTTAGTTTGTAGACCAGGCTGCTCCCAAATGCACAGAGATCTGCCTGCTTCCGCCTCCAGAATGCTGGGATCAATGGCTTCTTCCACCATGCCAGCCTGCAAGATAGCTCTTAACTGCTGATCTGTCTCTCTGGCGCCGCACTACAGGGTCTAAATAGACTGGCAGAAACTGACTTTTGCTCTAAATGAAATGGAAAGGTCACTGGAGAGTTCTGAGCACAGGAATAACATAATCTAACATTAAAAACTACAGCAGCTTTTATTGAGCAATAATTCATATGTGATAACATTTACTCTCTTATGGTAGGTATACAATCCATTTTTTTTTTTTTACTGTTTAATAGTTGCGTAACTGTCACCACTATCTAATTTTAGAATATTTTCATTATACCAAAAGAAGTCCCATACTCCTTTTCTTTTTTTTGTTTTTGTTTTTCAAGACAGGGTTTCTCTATGTAACAAGCCCTGGCTGTTCCTGGACTTACTTTGTAGACTAGGCTGGTCTTGAACTCACAGAGATGCTCCTGCCTCTGCCTCCCCAGTACTGGGATTACAGCCGTGTATCCCCCTGCCCAGCTGAGAAGTCCTATACTTTCTAACAGTCACTCTTTTGCTCAGTCCTTTGTAACTGCAAATTTTAAATTAATTAATTTGCTTATTATAAATTTATTCAATTTGTATCCTGGCTGTAGCTCTCTCACTCCTCTCCTCTCAGTACCACTCACCCTCCCTCTTCTCCCCCATGCCCCTCCCCTAGCCCACTGATAGAGGAGGACCTCCTCCCTTTCTATCTGACCCTAGCCTATCAGGTTAGGGTTAGCCTATCCTGATAGGTTAGCCCATCAGTCCTCAGGACTGGCTGCATTGTCTTCCTCCGTGGCCTGGCAAGGCTTTACTCTGTAGGGGGAGGTGATCAAAGAGCCGGCCACTGAGGCTGTAACTGCAAATTTAATTTCTGTTTCTGTCTATTTGCTTATTCTAAATATTTCATAGCAATGTAATTATACAATGTATGTTTTTCCATGATGGGCTTGCCAAATAGTATAAAGTTTTCATACATACTATAGAATATACTAGTCCTTCATCCTTTTTCAAATTTTATACACTGTCATAAAAACAAACTTTGCAAATAAACATCATACATTAAAATTAAGCAGACCCAAAGTCTAACATCTCAGTGACTTCTGTACAGTTAGAGTAGCCATTCTGCAGCTGTGGAGCTTCACATTGGATTTTATACCTTCACTATAGAATATATTTTTCTGCTGTCATCAGCTACCAAAAATAAAAAATCCTTGACAGACTTAGAACTAGAAAAACAACTAGCTTTATATTCTCTTTCATAACTTGTGTATAATCAGTTCTTTCTTATCCCCTGATATTTAGCCCTTTTATTTTTTTTCCGTTATATTTATGCTGAACCCATATGTACAGTTTTTACATATAAGAGATATTTTTGGCTTGATTCTGCATATGAAGGAAAATATGTAACTTTTTCCTTTCTGAGATTGTGTGACTTTGCTTAATATACATTCTAAGATTATTCATTTTCTGCAAATTTTGAATCATCATTTGTCTTTAGAGCTGAGTAGTATTCTATTTTCTGTCTATACCAAATTTTTATTATTCATTCATTTGTTGATCATCTAGGTTGGTTCCAATTCTTTGCTCTAGTGAATAAAACAGCAGCAAGCATTCTTTATCCTTTTATTGTCAAATCGTTTTCTGTTTTATGCACACACATTCTGTTCACATTTAGTTTGTTCATTCATCAGTTGATAGTCAGTTAGGTTACCCCATTTGGTGGCTGCTATGAATAATGATGACGAACTCATACCATTCCTATAAACAAGCTTTGCATGATCATCTGTTTTCATTTCTTTAGGATATTTACCTGGGAACACAGTTATTAGATTGCATGATAACTTTATATTTAACCTTTTGATGAGCTGCCAGAATATTTAAACACCATTTTACAATCTCATCAATAAGACATTGCAGAAATGTTGTATTTTCTAAGAACCCGGAATATCAAAATGGATGTGAAAAGAGACAATAGGCCTTGGAATCAGTAAAATGTAGTGTTTTGGTGTCTTTTAAAAAGTGAAAAGGTTAAGTATTAGCATTTTTTCATTTTAAGTTTTTATTTATGTTCATTTCATGTGCATTGGTGTTTTGCCTACATGTATGTCTGTGTGAGGCTGTCAGATCCTCTGGAACTGGAGTTTACAGACAGCTGTGAGCTGCCATGTAGGTGCTGGAAACTGAACCCACGTCCTCTGGAAGGGCAGCCAGTGTTCTTAATCCCTGAGCCATCTCTCCAGTCCCGTTATTTTTCTTTTCCATAAAATAGTTTAGCCAATAGATCAGAGCTCCCATGGAGCTAAGCCTCCCAGGATTGGGCAGGTCAATGCCAAACTTTACCCTGAACAGAAACCCAATAATCCCTTTTGCTCTCTTCTATGTGCTCAACAAGATTTTTGTAACTTTTTGCGGATTTTTTTTTGCATTTTTTTCATAATTAAATATTAAGTAGAAATTGAAGGGATGTGGAATAAATCTGAGCATAGTTTTGTGAAATTTTCGTTTTAGCTATACATCTGTATATACAAAGACGTAATATGGGTTTGATGTAATTTTTTTTTTTTTTTGTGCGCTATAGGTCAGGATTTTAAAACAAGAACAAAAAGTTTGAGGGGCAGAGAGGTGATGTGCCTAAGAGAGCACATCTCCCTGGTTTTTAAAGTTATTTTTAGGAAGGGTGTCTCTACATAGCTCTAGCTATCCTAGAATTTCACTATGTAGACAGGAGTGGCCACAAATTCACGGAGACCCTCCTGCTTCTGCCTCCTGGGATCACAGCGAGCACAACTCCTGGCAAAGAGCCCTTTTGAGGAGGACCTGAATTATTCCCAGCCTGTAACTCCAGCATCAGGGGATGTACCACCCTCTTCTGGCCTCCACGGGCACTGCACTCACATGCACAAACCTGCAGTTGGATACACACGTTTAAAGATAAAATCTTTAAAAGAGTTCGGAAGTCACTAACGTGACACATGATGATGCTCTACGCTGAAAAAAGAACTGGGCGATCTCAGTCCTTCCCTCAAAGTGGGCAAGAGTCTGTCAAACAGAGACACAGGAAATGACCTAATGAAACGGACAGGGAACCACTGTGCGTGTATTTTTTCCACAACGCCGAGGTCAGTGCCCGCCCGGCTGGGACAACTTAATCGAAAAACGCGCGCGCAGCGGGCAGAGGGGAGCCCACCACCCCGAGGCAGGAAGGAGGCTCGCAGACCCCGCTCCCGCGGCCGGCGAGCGGCTACCCGGGTCTACAGCGCCCGCGGCTGCGGGGAGGCGGGCCACGACGGCGAGCATGCGCAGTAGCGGGTCCCCGCCTCCGCGCGGAACTGCGCCTGGGGCGGTCGCAGCCCCCCGACCACGGCCGTCCCCGCCCCCTCCGCCGCCTGCCGCGCCTGCGCGCGCAGAGCCTCCCAGGGCGCCGGCGGGAAGGGACGAGGCGGGTAAGCGAGGCCTGCGTCCCGTCCGTGTTTCTCACAGGGTTTGCAACTCCCTCGTGTCCGCCTCTCGGGACCGGGAAGATGCGCTTTGGCGCTTTGGAACGCGCCTTTCCCCGGCTTCGCTCCTGTCCCCTCCGGAGGTGGTCGGCCCGGCCGAGTGTTGGAGCTTCCTCCCGGCCAGCGCGCCGCGGCCTCTGCTGTCCCCGACCCCACGGGGACACCCAGGGCAGGCCCCTGGCCCAGATTCCGGCTCGCTCGGTGCTCTGAAGTTCCTTCCCTGCTTGCGCCGTCCGTAGCGCCGAGTTGATTTTCTGCCTTTAGCGTCCACCAGTTTAGGCTGAACTCTAGCTAGTCTGCAGCTCAGACACAAAGAGCCTCCGTTGTTTTGATGCTCAGCTGGGGTGCTGGCCTCCCTGCTGAATCGACTTTCAGATGCTTTTGAGAGGGAAATCGAGGTCACCACGGCATAGGTCCTCTTTAGTTCTTCCATCCTTAGCCAATAAACTGGATCTATTGAGGCACAGACCTTGGATCCCTGTGCGCTGTCACAGAACTATGCTTTTTCTGTTTCTGAGCACGGCAATTTCCCATGCCACATTTGGGAATGAAGTACTCCCCTGGCAGTGGGCTAGTATCAGCATTTACTGAGAAAGATGGTAACAGACATTTCGGTTCTCTACTGCCAGAGTGACTATTAAGCGAACTGGGTTTTGTTTTGTTTTGTTTTTTGGTTTCCCGGTGTAGTCCTGGCTGTCGTGGAACTAGTAGGCTGGCCTCGAACTGAGATTCCAACTGTTGTAACAGGAGACATTTAGACTTAATGGCTGTGCTTTGATTCTGGGGTTCAGAATCTGCTGCCGGGGAGAATAGAAATTAGGTCTAATTTCTGCACACGAGGGGAAAAGGTTGTGCTTATGCACCACTTGTTTGTAAGATGTTGTAAGATGTCATGTACATGCTGGGGTGAAAATTTAGTGGCTTCTTTCAAGCCTCTCAAAAAGTTAAGTTTCTAGGTACCCATGATTATCAGTTTAATTATTATTAAGACAAGGTCTTACTATACAGTCCTGATTGGCCTGCAACTAAGAGATCTTCTAGCCCCTGCACCACCACACCCAGTGTCATCCCGTTTTTACTGATAATTTTGACTAAATGCTATATAATGAACTATTTTTTTAACATCATCTTACAGCAGTTTTTCAGTTTTATTACCAGGTTTCTTTGATGCTTAAATTATAAGACCTTAATAATTTTACATTTCCTCTGCTTTATCTTTATTTTCAAGAAGAACTCGTGGCTTCTTTATTCAGTAATTTGAATTTTCCCCTTTGATTCTCGTTATAATTTGTCATGTTGCTCATTTCCAACTATTGTTTGTAAAATAAATAATGAAAGGATTGGATTTTGGTTATCTCCTGCTTCATGGCTACTTGAACCCAAGAATTCTGATATGACTACTGACATGTTGTTTATTTTGCTAAACTTATAAAGATTTAGGTCCAAGTTTCTGTGCTTGGGTTCCATTTTCTACAACCTGGTCTGATAATTTTTATGTAATATGATATGGCTGGAATAAGCCAAGGCTTAGAATAAATAAACCCGAGATCGTTGCTATACTAAGGCTAGGGAAACTTTAATAATAGTTTCCTTTTCTGTGATCTTAGAAATTATCTTCTCATAAAATTGAGGATGAGGCATGGTGGCACAGGACTTTAATCCCAGCACTCAGAAGGCAGAGGCAGATGGATCTATTTGAGTTTGAAGGCAATCTGGCCTACATGGTTAGTTCCAGTCTGGCTAAGGCTACATAGTGAGACTCTGTCTTAAAAAAAAAAAACAAAACCAAATAAACAAGCCAAAAACTACAATTGATATAATTTTGTGTGAAGAAACCAGCAGATATGGTGACACATGCCTCTAATCCCAGCATTCGGTAACAAAAGGCAAGAGGGTCATGACGAGTTTGAGACCCTTGTCTCATAAAACAAAAACCCAAGCCTTTTATTATTTCTCATTTCACAAACATTTGAAATGCTAATATGTGTTAGAGACTAATCCTACAGCAATAGAAGCTATTTCCTTCCACCAATGGTCTATCAAGAACTGTGTGTTAGGGGTGTGTGTGGGTGTTGTACATGGGGTAGTGGGTTTTAATAAGGTTGAACATATATATATATATATATATATATATATATATATATATATATATCACTGACATATATATATATATATATATATATATATATATATATATATATATATATACATATATATGTATATATATGTATATATATATAGATTATAACATAGGTAAGCTTAGGATAGCCAACAAGTCTAGAGGAAATTATTGTCTGGAAAAGTCATACTTGAACAGAGTCTTGGGTTATAACAAAGATCCACAAAGGTTTTGTATGTTACGGGAAACATACAGATTGAAAGATTTTAAGCAGACATTTGGACTGGTCACAGTTGATATTTAGAAGTTCAACCTGCCTAGGATGTCTACTTCCTAACTAGTGATTTAACTTCTTTCTTCCTTTGCACCTTATTTTCTTTACCCAAGGAAGGGTTCATGACTGTTCTTCAGACCTTACTGCTGCTTATCTTTTATTGTCCAATTTTGTGCTCAATTTAGTGCTTATTTCTTCCATGAAGCATCCTTTGGCTCATACTACTTATTCCAGTATCTGAAAGCACGTTAGAAGTTGCACCATGTATTTTTAGCCCTTATTTGTTTGGTGTGTGTTTTATGATTCTAAATAAATTATAGAGAATGTTTCATCTATATGTGAATAGAAAATATTTTAACAAAAAGATCTATTGTTTGATCTTTGTGTTTTGTTTCTTAGGGTAGAAGCAGATAATAGGCAACAGTCTCTTTAATTAACCGGTACTCATCATGTCTGAGGAGTGTGTCAAGGCTGGCGATAGTTCATTTTCCTCTGATAAACATGCCCAGCTCATCTTGGCCCAGATCAACAAAATGAGAAATGGACAGCATTTCTGTGATGTACAGCTAGAGGTTGGGAAGGAAACCTTTCGTGTCCACCGGCTGGTTCTGGCTGCAAGTAGTCCATACTTCGCAGCTTTGTTCACTGGAGGGATGAAAGAGTCCTCCAAAGATGTTATTCAGATTCTAGGAGTTGGAGCTGAAATCTTTCAGTTACTGTTGGATTTCATTTACACAGGTATATCCATCTATCAGTTTTCTGTTTGCTGTGATAACATATGACCAAAGTCACTTACATAAGTTTATTTTAACAGTTGTACTTACTTTTACTTTCTGTGAGTGAATGTTTTGTCTGCATGTGTATACATGTACCACTTGCATGTAGTACCGACGGAGATGAAAAGAGGGCAGTGGGCCCTCCCGGAACTGGAGTTATAGATGGTGATGAATCGGTGTGTGTGCTGGGAACTGAAGGCATATCCTAAGGAAGTGCAGCAGCAACTTTTTTGTCTGTTTTTAAAATTTTTATTATGTATGCATTGTTCTCTCTGCATGTGCACCTGCACTCCAGAAGAAGACACCAGATCTCATTTACAGATGGTTGTGAGCCACCATGTGGTTGCTGGGAATTGAACTCAGAACCTCTGGAAGGGCAGCCAGTGCTCTTAACCTCTGAGCCATCTCTCCAGCCCCGAAGTATCTGTTTTTAACTTCTGAGCCATCTCTTGAGCCCTTAATTATTCTCAGAGTGAGGAACAAAAATGGAAACAAATACTTCATTTGGTCTAGTTTTGAGAATATGCTGTGTTCTCCTTAAGAAATTGTAAAAACTAGGCATGGTGGCACACACCTGTAATCCCAGCACTCTGGGAGGCTGTGGCAGGTGGATCTCTGTGAGTTCAAGGCCAGCCTGGTCTACAAAGTGAGTACAGACAATGAAGACTACACAGAGAAACTCTGTCTCGGAAAAAAAAGAAAGAAAGAAAGAAAATAAAATTATGTAGAGGGGTCTGGTGAGATGACTCCATGGGAAAGGGTGCTTGCAGCCAAGCCTCATGACATGAGTTCAGTCCTTGAAACCTACATGGTAGAAGAACAGAACTGACTCCAGGAAGTTTTTCTCTGACCTCAATCCATGACATGGTGATGTGTATCTACACACAACCCTGCTGTCAGGATTGTGGGGAGAAATAATATGAAAATATTTTTTTAAAGAAACTACTTAGGGGAAATTATTACAAGACTCATTCAAGTGTTTTGTTTAAATGCATGGTATTTGAGGCTGGAGAAATGGCTCTCCATTTATCCAGTGGTTAAGAACACTTACTGTTCTTTGAGAGGATCCAGGTTTGGTTCTCATCACCCACTCAAAATCTACTCTTGGTCAAATTCCAGGGAATCCAGTGACCTCTTCTGACCTCCACCTGTATGTACATGGTATAAATACAGAGACTGACACACACACACACATGCATAAAATAAATATATTAAATGCATGGTATTTGAAAAAACAAAATAATTTGTTTATTCATACTTTTTTCTTAGAAAAAATTCAGAAAGCAGTGATGAAATTTCTTCTGCAGCCATTACTATGCAGCACTGGCTGTACTACAACTAACTAGGTAGATCAGGCTATCCTTGAACTTACAGAGAGCCTCCTGTTTCTGCCTCTCAAGTACTGGAATTAAAGACATGCACCACCACGCCACGCCTAGTTGTTCCATAAATGTTAAATACACTGTCACTTAAGTTTTGTATTTTTTCCATATATTCTGCTTACTTAGTTTCTACGCTGCAAAAATTAAACTGTTCCTGAAGTCAAGTAAGATATTAAGCCAAATGTTTGTTTTGATTTATTGACTATTTTATCTTCCTGTTTCCCTAGGAGTAGTGAACATAGCTGTGAATAATGTTCAGGAGTTGATTGTTGCAGCAGACATGCTACAGTTGACCGAAGTTGTTAATCTCTGCTGTGATTTTCTAAAAGGACAAATTGATCCACAGAACTGCATTGGACTCTTTCAGTTCTCTGAGCAAATTGCTTGCCATGATCTTTTGGAATTTACAGAAAATTATATTCATGTCCATTTCTTGGAAGTTCATAGTGGGGAGGAGTTCCTGGCACTCACAAAGGATCAGTTGATCAAAATTTTACGAAGTGAAGAGCTTAGCATTGAGGATGAATACCAAGTCTTCCTAGCTGCGATGCAGTGGATTCTGAAAGACCTGGGGAAGAGAAGAAAGTATGTGGTGGAAGTGTTAGATCCAGTTCGGTTCCCTTTGTTACCATCCCACAGGCTTTTGAAGTACTTAGAAGGTAACTCATCGCTGTGTATCAAATCAATCTCCAAGAATTGTTTTTCTTTTGTGTGTGTGTGTGGGGGGTGTGCACGTGTGCACAGATATGTGTGAAGAAGGTGTGTGCAGGGACTCAAAGGCTAGAGGCTGACCTCGGATGTCTTCCTCAGTTGTTCATCACCTTGCTTTTTGAGACAAGCTTTCGATCTGAACCAGAAGCTTGCTCTTTTATCTAGACTGGCTAGCTAACAAGCCCCAGGGATCTTACTGTCTCCACCACTTCCCCAATACTAGGATTTCAGGCTCATGCCACCATGCTGGCCATTTTCACATGGGTTTTAGGGATCAAACTTTGGTCCATATACTTTGGTCAGAAGTAGTTGATATAGTATTACGGCTTCTGTGTCAACTTTGAATTATCTTCAGGTTCTAAGCATTTTTTTGTTTGTTTTTAGTTGTTGGGGATTTCTTGTTTTAAGGTGTAGTCTAGGCTGGCTCAAATGCATGATCTTCCTGGTATGTACCGCCACAACCAGGGGGATTTCTAGTTTTGAAGTAACAACAGCAGAAAGACACACACATACACACGATTAAAAATAAAATAAAATCTTTTTTTTTTTTTTTTTTTTTGGTTTGGTTTGGGTTAGGTTTGGTTTTGTTTTTTTTTAAGACAGGGTTTATCTGTGTAGCCTTGACTGTCCTGGAACTTGCTTTATGTAGACCAGGCTGGCCTCAAACTCAGAGATCCGCCTGCCTCTGCCTCCCAAGTGCTGGGATTAAAGGTATGCACCACCGCACTTGGCTGGCACGTATGTTAGTTTTTATTACCAATATTTTTTTTATTCATTTGGGCTAGACAGATTTCTTTTTATTATTTAAATTTTTATGTGTGTGTTTTGCCTGCATGTATGTCTGTGTATCATGTGTCTGTCTCCTGCCCAGGGAGGCAAAAAGAGGGGGTCAGATTCTCTGGAACAGGAATTACAGATGTTGATGAGCCCCTATGTGGGTTGTTGGTACTGAACTTGGTCCTCTGCAAAAATAGCAAGTATGCTTAGCTGTTGAACCATCACTCTAGGCCCATGGGTTTGCTGGATTGCTTTTTATGTTTTGCTTTGTTTGGTTTGGTTGGTTTTTGAGACAGGGTCTCTCTTATGTAGCTTTGGCTGTCCTGGCATTCTCTGTAAATCAGGCTAGCCTCTAACTCACAGAGATCCACGTGTCTCAGCCTCCTGGGTGCTGGGATTAAAGGTATGACCACTTTAGAAAAACATGGCTGAATCCTTTCATATTTAAAAATTCATGGGTGTTACTTTTTAAATTAAATTTAGGCTTGTATAATATTCTTTAATTATGATAGTATTCCTGTTCTTTTTAAATTTGGTATGCATAGTTTTTTTTGTTTTTTTTTTTTTAATGTTATTTTGTGGAAAGCAAAGGACAGCTTGTAGGAATGGTGTGGATTCTTCTTTCCACCTTGTAGGTCCTAAGGAATGAACCTGGGTCTTCAGGTTTGGTGGTAAATGCTTTGACCCACTGAGCTGTCTTGACAGCCTGTAAAACAGTTTGTTTTGTTTTCAGTGACTTCTTTCTTTCTTTCTTTCTTGAATGCTTTAAGAGGATTTTTTCATTATTCTTGTTTTTTTGTTGTTGTTGTTTTGAACTTTGCTAAATTTTTTATTAGATTCTATCATACTTTTGAAAATTCTTTTGAGTATGAGGGTATATGTTTGTAATTCCAGTATACAGGTGGCAAAGAGAGGAGAATCACTGCAAATTTAAGACCAGCCTGGACTATATGGTGAGTTCTAGGACAGGACTAAAGAGTGAGACCCTGTCTTAATAAACAGAAACCTCTCCAAAAACAAACAAATAAATTTAATTTTAATTTTTCCTTCACTTTGGAAAAGCTTTGTGTGCAATTTCTGAATAATTTCATATACTGTTTGACAATCTTTAAAAAAATTGTCGTGTGTGTGTGTGGGGGGGGGTTTGGCTTGCATATATGCCTGTTCCCTTAGAAGCCAGAAAAACATGCAGATACCCTGGAACTGGAGTTACAGACAGTTGTGAGCTGCCACGTGGGTACTGGGAACCAAACCTGATTTCTTCGGAAGAGCAGCCAGTGCTCTTAACCTGAGCTATCCCTCCACTCTACCCTCTTTTTGAGATAAGGTCTCATGTGTCCCAGGCTGGCCTTAATCTCATTATATAACCAAAGATGACTGGAACTTCTGATCCTCCTACCTCTACCTCCCAAGTGTTAATATTACAGGTGGGTACCACTATGACCAGTTTAGGAACAAATATTCTGACGGTGTGAGGAGAATTTCCTAAAAGTCCTTTGGGTATGATTGAGTAGGTTACTTATCCCTGCTCAAGTTAACCAGTGTTCTGTGTTAGACACCTGCTGATTTACATAAAGAACTAGTAAGGGACTGTCACCTAGCCTTATGTATACATCTAACCTTACCTCTGCATCCCGGGAACAATATGAAGGAAAGGCCAATTAGTAAAATTGTGGGAACCATCAGTGGATAATTTGGAGGAAGAATGAACAATTGAAATGCAAAGCAAAGCAGAAGCTGGGCAAGGTGGCACATGCTGTAATCCCAGCACTCAGGGAGGCAGAGGAAGATGGACTACAAAGTGAAGTGAATCCAGGACAGCCAAGGATACACAGAGAAACCCTGTCTCAAAAATCCAAAAGAAAAAAAAAAAAAAGCAGAGGAAGTTGAGAAACAAAAATAATGAATTTTGGTTTGGTTGGGGTAGAGCTCAGTGGAGGCTTGCCCAGCAGAAATGTGGCACCAGATTTGATCCAGCTAAGGACATCAGCCCTAGCTGGAGTTTATTCCACCACCCTCTTGTTTCATGCTAGAAAGATACAGTGAGAACACATGTCTTATTCAAATTTTCTGCTGCAGAATACAAAGTAATTGTACTAAGATAAAAAGAGTGAGATGGAAAATCAGCTCTTTGTCCGAGCAGGGTTTGAAATAGTACAACATGTAAGGAAGATACCAAGAACAACAACAAAAAACATATTGAAGTAGATCCCAGGGAAAAGGAGGAATTCAGCCTGGGTGGGGAGGCAGGCAGGGATTAGCCATAAATAGAAACACATTTCTCTTGAAATTCAGACAGTAGAGTTACTAAAAACAAATTTAGCTAGTTGTGGGTAACACATGCCTTTAGCTAAGCACTCAGGAGGTATAAAGGCAGGTGAATTTCTGTGAGTTCAAGGTCATCTTGGTCTACAGAGTAAGCTTCAGAACAGCCAAGGACTACACAGAGAAACCCTGTCTAGAAAAACTAAAAAAATATTTACCCACCCACCCATCTACCCATCTATCTGTCTATCTATCTATTTATATTTTATAAAACAGGAGCATTAGGACAGCAGAAGATGCATTTCTAAGGAAAAACCAAGTGAGAAACGCCAGTATTGTATAATGTAGAAAGACACAGACATGCATGCAAACAAAACATCCACACAAACAAAATGGATTGTAAAAAAATTTAGTGATTTTTTTTTAATTTTGTTTCTTTCTTTGTCTTATCATTTTTAAGGTTTATAACATAAATGTATTTTTGTTATTAGATTTTGTGTATAGAACTTGTGACTTGGGCTGGAGAGATAGCTCAGAGGTTAAGAGCACTGACTCCTCTTCCAGAGGTCCTGAGTTCAATTCCCAGCAACTACATGGTGGTTCACAACAGTCTATAATGTGATCTGGTGCCCTCTTCTGGTGTGCAGGTGTAAATTCAGTCATGACACTATATATATATAAAACGTTTTAAAAATCAAAACTTGTGATTTTTAAAACAAAAAAACTTGTGATTTTTAAAACGTTTTCTTAGATATTTTTTTTTTCTTTTAAGTGTTGGGGATTGCTGAACCTAAGCCCTGCTAATTGTGAGCTTGGTTCATTTTGCCATCTTTATTTGGAAAACATTATAAATGTATTTTTAAATTTTAGTATGGGGGGGTGGTTATTTTATTTGGTTGGTATTTTGAGACAGGGTTTCTCTGTGTAGCCCTGTTTGTCCTAGAACCTGCTCTGTAGACCAGGCTGCTCTGGAACTCAGAGATCCACCTGCCTCTGCCTCCTGAGTGCTGGATTAAAGGTGTGCACCACCACTGCTGGGCTTTAGTATTGTTTCTTAAAATATTTTTTAAAACTTCAAAATTACATTTTGATGTATGTGTGTATGTCTCTGTGTGTGTGTGTTTATGTAGGTTTGAGCATACCTCAGCATGAATGGAGGTCAATAGACAATTTGAGGAAATTGGTGCTTTTCTTCCACCATATAGGTCTCAGGAATCAAACTAAGGTCATCCATCAGGCTTGGCAGGAAATGCCTTTACCTGTTGAGCCATCTCACTGGCCCCTGTAAAACATTTGGATAGATTTAAGAAAAGTATATTCTTGAGCAGCAATGATAAAACATATTTTCTATTATAAGAAGCATACTGTTGTTTGGTAATAAGGTTGGGGTTTTTGGGAAGGATTTATCTTAAATGATATATATATATATGTGTGTGTGTATGTGTGTATGCATGTGAGTGTGGATGCTCATGGATATGGGTCCCTTTGAGCTGAAATTACAGGTATGGTCGCTGGGGACCGAACATGGGTCCTCTGCGAGAGCATTACATTCCCTTAACCCTCTCTCCAACACCAGCAATGAAGGTATTTTTCTTGTTGTTTTTGGTTGCTGGTGTTGTTGTTTGTTTGTTTTTCTTTTTTGAGATTGGGTCTCACTGCTTAGACCAGGCTGGCTTAGCTCTTGACATGTAGACCAGGCTGGCCTGGAACTCACAAAGATCCTCCTGCCTCTCTCTCCTGAGTGCTGGGATTAAAGGCATGTGCTACCATGACTGATCAGGAAATGTGTCTTTTTAGTAATATCTGAAAGTCATTTAAAACATTTTCTTTTCACCCCCTGTTCAGGAGTATCTGATTTTAACCTTCGCGTTGCCCTGCAAACGCTTTTGAAAGAGTACTGTGAGGTCTGCAAGTCTCCCAAAGAGAACAAATTTTGTAATTTTCTGCAGACATCTAAAGTTCGACCTCGGAAGAAAGCAAGAAAGTACCTGTATGCAGTAGGTAAGAAGTTTTGAAAAATAATATAAATCGCTTTTATGATAAGAGCTTTTCTGTTATTACTATACAAGTATTACTAATATGCTAACCTATTAGAAGAAGTATATTTAAGGTGTAAGATTAGTGAAATGAATTTATATAATAGGATGAACACATTTAAAACTTAATAGCTTCATTCAACATTTTATTCTGTTCTAAATCTTTGGTCTCTGATACCTAGTTACCATCAAATGACTGTCTAGAGATTTATTTATTTATTGTGTGTATGCACATATGTGAACCATGGTGTGTGTGTGAATATGAGAGGACAACTTATGGGAACTAGTTCTTTCCTCCCACTTTGTGGAGCTGAGAGATTGAACTCAGGTCATCAGGCTGAACAGCTAGTGCCTTTCCCTACTGAGCTACTTCACCAGCACAAGAACCATGTCTGTAAAAGTTAAAATTTTGCTAAGCATAGTGGGTCATGCCTACAGTTCTAGAATTCGGAGGCTGAGGCAGAAGGAATGCCAGAAATTCAAAGTCAGCATGGGTTAACATAGTGCATTCTGAGTTAGCCTCAGCTACAGTGTGACAGTATCATTAAAAAACCTAAGTAAATATGTAATCCCAGCACTCAGGGAGACAGAGGCAGGCAGATCTGTGAGCTTGAGGCCAGCCTTGTCTACAAAGCAAGTCCAGGAAAGCCAAGGCTACACAGAGAAACCCTGTCTTGAAAAGCCATAAATAAATAAGAAATATTAAATTCAAGTGAAAGACAAAGGAAATATATTTTAAAACTTACAGTAGTTAGGGATAATAAAATAAGTGGTTTCCAAAGTGTTGCTGGCAGCATGATCTATACGAATGTCAGAGGGTTCTTTCTGTCGTCTTGGAACCTGTAGAGTCCTACTGGGAGCAGAAGTTCTAAAAGGCAAATTAAGTGGGAGGCTGTGGTGCAAGGCCATTTTAGCTGGCTGTAAGCAAGGTCTCCAGCAACAAAGAGCACACAGCTCTTCTTAAAGCTGAAGGTGTTTATGCCCGAGATTAAATTGACCTCTACTCAGGCAAGAGATGTGCTTATGTGTGTAAAGCAAAAAACAACACAGTGACTCCTGGAGACAAACCAAACCAGAGTAATCTGGGGAAAGGCAACCCTGGCCCATGGGAACAGTGGCATGGTTCTTGTCAAATTCTAAAGCAACCTTCCTACAAAGGCTATTGGACACAGAATTTATGTGATACTGTACCATTCCCGGATTTAAACTAATGAAAAGTAAATAAAGAAAAGTGAATTTATAGGCTGGGCATGATGATACAGGACATTAAGCTGGTTGTGGTGGTGTACACCTTTAGTCCCATCTCTCTGGAGGCAGAGGCAGGCAGATTGCTGTGAGTTCAAGGCCAGCCCTGTCTATAAAGTGGGTCTAGGACAGCCAAGGCTACACAGAGAAACCCTGTTTCAAAAGAAAAAAAAATTGATGGATATATATACCATTGATATCTAGATATACCATTGTTTCTATATGTGTATCATATTATATATATACATATATATACATACATACACACATATACATACATACTTAGTTTCATGTAATTTTTACATATTGTGAACATTTTTTTGGAGCAAATACTATAATTTTTTGCTGAGTGTAAGGGACACAATTTGCCATTTTTACCTTGTTGTACATTATTGTTATTATTACTATTTTGATTGTTCAAAACAGGGTTTCTCTAGCTCAGTAACCAATTGGTTTCCCATAGTGAGGGGAACAAGGACTATTTCTAACAGGAACTCAATGACTGGCTCTTTGGCCTCCCCACCCCCCAAGGGAGGAGCAGTCCTGTTAGGCCACAGAGGAGAGCTTTGCAGCCAGTCCTGAAGATACCTGATAAAACAGGATCAGATGAATGGGGAGGAGGTCCCCCCTATCAGTGGACTTGGCAAGGGGCACGGTGGAGAGGAGGGAGGGAGGGAGGGAGGGACTGGGAGGGAATGAGGGATCGGGACACGGCTGGGGTACAGAGTTAATAAAATGTAACTGATAAGAAAAAAAATAAAATATAAAAAAAAAAAAAAAAAAGGTTTCTCTGGGTAGCTCTGGTTGTCCTGGAACTTACTGTGTAGACCAAGATGGTCTCAACTTGCCTCTGCATTCCGGGTGCTAGAATTAAAGGCATACACAACCACTGCCTAGCTTTTGCTTTACTTTTTAAAAACTTTTTATATTTCTTTTTATTGTGTGTATGATCTATGTGTATGCGCAAGCCATGGTGCATGTGTGGAGGTCAGAGAGCAACTTTTGTGGAATCAGTTATTCCCTTACACCTTTGTGTGGATTGCAGATGTGCAGCTTGCGTTGTTAGGCTTATATGACAAATGCCATTATCCACCAGCCCTCAGACCGCTTTTCTAAGTGTTTGTGTGCGTGTGTGCACCCATGTATCTCTTGGCGGGAATGTGCATGTGTGAGGACAAGGGCCTGCAAACTCCAGAAGAAGGCGTCAGATCCTTGGGATTATAGGTGGTCCCAGTCCTTTGCAGTAATATGCACATTTAACCACCGGACCATCTCATCATCCCTTCAATGCATTATTTTTAATTGAGACAAACAAAAGTCATAATGAAACTTTATAGTTAGACAAAGAACATAGCCTAGACTTACTGTTGAAGTCAACAGGTCAGGGGAGATCGGGAAGGTGTGGGTAGAGTTGGCCGTAATCAGTCAGCGGACTTTTCTCAGAGGGTGCTGAAGTTAATTATCTTCTCTGAGTGTACTAAGCTTAATTGTCTGGAGCCTGTGAGAAAGCAAAGAGAAGAGGTGGAAAAACCACCTACTCACACACTGTACACACACTTGGTAGGTGAAATAAAGCAAACTCCAAAAAACAGGTTCCAACAAGTTTGAACAATTCCACACATACACATACATATACACACAGACATATAGACAGATACACAGACATACAGACAGACATATATTTATTTGGTGGACAGGGCAAAGCTCTAGCGAGCAGGCTGTAATGCACACCATTTATTATTTCTTGGTTTCTTTAAAGCGAAGTCTTCATGTTAGAAGAAAAATTACCTTATAACCACAAAAGTAATTATCACAGAAACAGATAAAGTCGTTACACAGCAGGATTATTGATTACTCATGCCTAACTAAATATTTTTTATCTATCTCTTCATTATGCAAATTCATTGTAATTTCAAAGCAATAGTTCTTTATATCATAGGTCAGCTAGATATAAAGTTGAGAAGTTTTGAGGAGTTATGACAGGATTACTGTTTACATGTTCATCCATTAAGACTAGCACCTGACTAAACATATTTTATCTATCTTTTAGCTCTACAAGTTCAAAGTAATATTTTATGTCTTTTATTTCATAAGATCATTATAAGTTTAAATGAATAGTTTTTTACATAATATGTTAACAAGGTTTTATTTTTAACCAAGAAATAGGTCATCTACCTTATGTTTTATTTTTGAGGTTTTCTATAGTTAAATTAATTAATTACCTATTTTCTGTTCATGGCTTATCTATCACACTGCATACAGAGACCCATGACCTCATCTCTGAACCTAGATCATAAATCTGTCCCAAACCTGTTCTTTCTACTGCAATTTATGTGCTTGACAAGAAGGTTCACAGCACTCCATTATGCACCTTTCCTATTCTACAGGAAGGTTTAAAGTCGCTTGAATCAAATCAGGAATTCTATATAGTCATAACTAGGAAGTATAAAATCATCTTTATATTGATTCTGCAGGAAATCTCAACAGAGTGGGTAAATATCCAAGAAACAATAGGCAGTGAGGGTCCCCTCATGCTCAGTTACACCATGCCAAATATATGAGGGATACAGCAACGACAAGCATGGAAGGGCATATCCGTAGCAAGAAGCAATACGGACGCAAAATCCCTGGGGTCCATGCTTCTTCAGGCTATACTCCTTTGTCAGTTGTGGAAAAATGGTGGGCTGCCTTCAGGAAGCTCACTTGCTTACCATAGACCCTTTTCTACATGCATGGCTCCCTCCATCTTACATTTTATAAAGCTTTCTATTATAACCGAGATCAGGTGGTGAAACACTGAGTTAACATTGTCATTGCATGTAAGCTGTAATTTTCTAGGACTTGGAATAATTGAAAGTTGTATCTTTTATATACTGTTTTTATAGAGATGAGTGTCTCTAAGCTCTATAAATGTGTAGATACAGAGGCCTAGATTTTCTTCAATACTAACATTTCCATATTTTGCAATAAGTGATTTGCTGTGTATTTTTTCCTTACTTTGTTTAGGTGGATATACGAGGTTGCAAGGGGGCCGCTGGAGTGATTGCAGAGCCCTCAGCTGTGTAGAGCGTTTTGATACCTTTAGCCAGTATTGGACCACTGTATCTTCACTTCATCAGGCTCGGTGTGGACTTGGAGTAGTGGTTTTGGGAGGGATAGTCTACGCTATTGGAGGTAACAATAAAAACATCTAAATTCTCTCATTAGTCTACTTGACTACATTGTTCTATGTGGTCCCCTCTCCCCCTTTATATAATGTGATTTGTTCATCTTCAGTCATTTTCTTCTCTCTTCCTTAGGTATTTTTAATGGAAAATTATTTACTTATATAATAACAATCTCTTTGAACTTGACCTATATACCAATATGTACTTCATAATTAACATGTTTACACCAAAACCTGTTTTTTTTTTTCCTCCCATGATTTGCCAAATACTGGATGGTAACAGTGATTTTCCTAGAGGGTCAGAACAAAGCTTTAAACATCCTTTTTGTTCCTTCAGTACTAAGTGATTGATTTTAGGGCCTCATGTATGTGAGGCAAGCCACTGTACTAAAGACCCTGTCAAAACTTCAGTCATCCTCCTGGTTGTCTTTCTTTCACCTCTATATCCAGGCCATTAGTATTTATGTAGATAAAGATACTTCAACATTATAATACCCCGATCTTGATGTGTATGTTTTTATCTCTAAAGTCTACCCTTACTTTATGAATCTGATCATGTTGTTGTCCTATTCTCAACTCTAGAATGGCTCCCTCTTTACTGTTGAAGGTAAAGTCCAGTTTGGGGGATAAAGATGTACCTTAGTTGATAGAGTGCTTGTTTATCTTGCAGGAAGCCCTGGGTTCACATCTCAGCATTACATAAATCACAGATAGTAGTAAGTTTGAGGCGAGTATCAACAGACTGTCTGGACCCACCAGCTCCCCAAGTAATGACATGGAGACTTTTTATTAATATGAAAGTTTGGCCTTAGCTTAGGGTTGTTTCCAACTAGTTCCTATAACTTAACCTGTTTATACTAATCTATTACATTCTGCTGTGTGGCTTGGTACTGCTCCTCAGTGTCAGTGCCTCTTTGTTTTGTTTGGCTAGTGAATCTTCTGTGCCTAGTTCTTTCCCAGAGTTCCTGTCCTCTCCTGCCTGCTATAGACCATACAGCTCGTTATTAAACCAATCAGAAGGTGATGGAGATGTTTATAAAACACTGAGACAGGTGATGCTTCATAAAAATAACAGTGCCAGAGTCAGCCTGTCCTCAGCTTTCTGCTGACACAGAAATCAGAACTTGAATATACAGAGACAACCTTACACAGTGCACAAGAGATTACCCCCGGCAGGCCAGTTTAGTCTACATAGGGAAATCCAGGATAGCCAGGACTAAAAAACAAACAAAAAAAAAACAACCCTATTTCAAAACATAAATAAATATATAACAACTAAGTGGGAAGCATGTTCAGTATAAACTACACTGCTACAGTTCAGGAAGAACAAGCCACTCATTATTTGTTTTTTCACGGTTTATCTGTTGTATTTCCAGATTCCAGCTAGGGGTCACCTTTGCAAATAGCCCTGTAAGAATAGGTAGTATTTTGGTCTTATTTGTTTATTTGTTTGTTTTATATGTGTGTGTGTGTGTGTGTGTGTGTGTGTGTGAGTGTGTGTGTGTGTGTGTGTGTGTGTGTGAGTGTGTGAGTGTCCTAGCTGCATGTACACCTGGATGCCAGAAGAGGCACCAGATCTTATTACAGATGGTTGTGAGTCACCATGTGGTTGCTGGGAATTGAACTCAGAACCTCTGGAAGAGCAGACAGTGCTCTTAACTGCTGAGCCATTTCTCCACTGCCCTTTTTTTTTTTTTTTTTTTTTCTGAGACAGGGTTTCTCTGTGTAGCCTTGGCTATCCTGGACTCACTTTGTAGACCAGGCTGGCCCCAAACTCACAGTGATCCGTCTGCCTCTGCCTCCCAGAGTGCTGGGATTAAAAGCAAAGTTCATCTATCTTAAGACATTCTTACTCAAAACTGATAGCCTTATATACCTTTATTTTTAAATAAAATTTTTATTGTTACATTTATGTGTATAATAAACCTGGAATTGAGTTTTTATGGATAACATGCAATAGGGAATCACTTTTTTTTTTCCTTTCACATATAACCAGCTATCAGAGCTATTTCCCCTTATTCTTATTTTCCCTTTGTTCTATAGTAACTTTGACATACCTGGGAATGTAATGTTTTTTTAGTTTTTTACTTGTCTTAATCTTAATTACTTTGACTCTATTAAAAATCTTAGTTTAGGGCCAGCAAGATGACTCAGCAGATAAGAGTGATTACCACCAAGTCTAAGAACCTGAGTTCCCTGTGTGCTGGATTGTTTTTAATCAACTTGACACAAGATAATATCATTGAGGAAGAAAGAATTTTAATTGAGAAAATAACTCCATTGTGCTGGCTTGCAGGCAAGCTTGTGGGCCATTTTTTAAAATTGGTGGTGTTTCTGGGAGGGCTCATCTCACTATGGGTGGTGCCACCTCTGGGCAGATGGTCCTGGTTCTATAAGAAAACAGACTGAGCAAGCCATGAGTAGTAAGCCAGTAACCAATATTCCTTCAAGGCCTCTTTATCAGTGCCTGCCTTCAGGTTCCTGCCTTGAGTTTCTGCCTTGAGTTCCCTCAGTGGTGGACTGCAAACTGCAATCAACAAAACCCTTTCCTCCCCAAGTGTTACAGTGATGATGTCTTAGTACAAACCCTTCGACACTGTGTAAGCCACGTTGTTGGAGAGGACCAACTCCTGAAAGTTGTCCTCTGGTTTTTATGTACATGTACCTTCCTACTCCTGCACACAAGAAAAACCAAGGGGTAACACATGATGAGGCTTTTTTTTTTTCCTCTCATTCTTTTCTGTTAGGGTCTGACTATTCTTGGTTGATTGTACTTTGTCTCGGTGTTCTATTGCTGTGAATAGACACCACAGCAACTTTTTTTTTTCCTTTTGGTTTTTAGAGACAGCGTTTCTGTGTGTAGCCTTGGCTGTCCTGGATTTGATTTGTAGACTCACAGAGATCTGTCTGCCTCTACTCCCTGAGTGCTTGGATTACAGACGTGCACGACTCTGACTGGCTTATGATAACTCTTATAAAGGAAAACATTTAACTGGTGTTTTCTTACATTTTCAGAAGTTTAGTCCATAGTGCATGGTAGGAAGCATGGTGGCATACAGACAGACATGGTGCCAGAGGAGATGAAACTCTGGATACACAGGCAACAGGAAGTGAAAAAGTTGCTGGGTCTGGCTTGAGCATTTGAAACCCCACAGTCTATCCCCAGTGACATGCTTTCTACAACAAGGTCACACCTCTTCCAATAGGGCCACGCCTCCTAATCCTTCTCAAGTAGTGCCACTCCCTAATGACCAATCATTCAAATCTATGAGCTATGGGGGGCATTCTTATTCAAACTACCACACATTTATATATCAATTGTTTCCCAATTTCCATATCCTTTTATTTAAATTTATATATGTCATGGTAAACCATAAAATAAGTTATAAAACATTTGAGTGATGTTTTCAAAGCAGCAACAAACTTCAGATGTTTGGAGGGGGGCCATATCAATTTTGCAATTGCTTGTTAAATATGTTTTAAGAACTGGATTGATAGCTAGGGTTACATTAAATCTGTATATTAGTTTAAGGATAATTATCGTCTTTACATTGATGTTTTCAAATTGATTTTTTAGCTTGGCACACAGTTACGTGTTTCATTATAGCATTTGTCTTCCTTCTTTAGTGTCCCCCTCCATCTCCTTGCTGATCTCCTTCATCCCCAAATAGTCCTCCCTTTGCTTCTATTTCACATGTATTCCATTACCCTTCATGTTGGTTTATTTTTTCCTTTTCCTTGCTTAAGGTCTCTTTCTCCCTCCTACAGTTACATTGACAGTTTTTTAGAAGGTTTATTTATTTTATGTATGAGTGTTTTGCATATATGTATGTATTTATACAACATATTTGTAATTCCCAAGGAAGTCAAAACAAGGTGTATTCTTTGGAACTGGAGTTATGGATGGTTCTGAACCATCATGTGGCTGCTGGGTACTGAACCCTGGTCCTCTGCAAGAACAGCAAATGTTCTTAACTGCTGATCCATCTCTCCAGTCTCCACACTGACTCTTACAGTTCACAAACATACATCTTTATTTTTCTAGATGGTCCTTAACTTAGAATTTTCTCTAAGTTTATTTTAATAACTTTTTTAAATTTTGGGACAGGGTCTCAATACATAGATCAGGCTGGCCTTGAATTCACAGAAATCCCCTTACCTCTGCCTCCCAAGTAGTGAGAATAAAGCAGTTCCCTAGCATGTCCCAGTATCTCAGGATATAAATTCTGTCAACTGGAGCTTTGTAAATCTGTGGTTAGATTGATGGTGTGTGTGTGTGTGTGTGTGTGTGTGTGTGTGTGTGTGTGTGTGTGATTGAACATAAGGCTTCATGGATAGATGCTAAGTATACCCCTTCATTCCAACCAGTCCCACACCTAATTCTGTTTTGTTTTGTTTTGTTTTGTTTTTTAAGCTGTGTGTGGAGTGGCTGCTGAGTTTAATTAGTTGCTTGCGTGTACATAATAGGCGTTATTTACTGGAGTGTACATATTCCAGTGCTCAAACCAGAAAAGAAAACAACTTTCCCCTACCTACTATAGTATTCTGAATATAGTGTATTTTAAGTATATAATTTCTTAAATTTTATTTTCTTTTTGTCGCTACGCTACATATGGATTATAATTACATGAAAATTCATTGTACCAGGCCATAAACACAAATTATTACCTGAAAAGTAATGGGAGTGTTAAAATGAAAATTGTTTCCTCAAAGTTTACCTGGATTGTTTAGGTGGTAGAATTAGAATAAATAATTAGAAAGTCATGTGCCTTTGTTCTTTATATGGTCTTTAATAAATGACAGTGCTTTGAATTAAAAAAATATTGCTTGCTAGGAAAGACTTTTAATGGCTATTTTAAAATTAGACATAATGGTTGGTTTCTGAAAACAGAAAATAAGAATGCTGCTGAATATTGTATTATAATTTTATTTTGTTAGCATCACTAAACCAGATGTGACTCTCTTTTTTTAAATCAGGTGAAAAGGATTCGATGATTTTTGACTGTACTGAATGTTATGATCCAGTTACTAAACAATGGACAATTGTCGCTTCAATGAATCACCCCCGATGTGGCTTGGGAGTATGTGTGTGTTACGGGGCTATCTATGCTTTGGGTAATTATGCTGTTTGATATTAATTCAGTTGTTGGGATCTGACAACTTTAGAGATGGTTCTTACTGACATAAGAAATTTGCATCTTGATGTATGGCTGGAAGAGACAGGTGGGATTTCAAGGCCAACCTGGTTTACATAGTAAATTCCAGGACAGGAAGGGTTGCATAGTGAGACCTTGTCTTGAAGAGAGAGAGAGAAAAAAAGAATGTATCTTTTTGGCTCTGTAAATTCTTTTTTTTTTTTGTTTTTGTTTTTGTGACAGATAGCTTTATAGCCAGGCTATCCTAAAAACATTGAACTTGCCATCCTCCTGTATCTCCTTCTTGAGTGCTATAACTATAGGTGTTGACTGTGATATATGGATGAAGGGAATATTTTTAATTTCAAAAATTGGAGAATGGGCCAATACTCTGGAGCCAGCGCTCTGGAGGATTACTGCAAATAACTGTACACAGTAAGTTCTAGGCCAGCCTGAGCTACACTAAAAGACCCTCTCTTAATATATAAAACACCTGCTGGTGGTACACACACCTTTAATCCCAGTGTTCGGGAGGCAGAGGCAGGTGGCTTTTTGTGAGTTTAAGGCCATCCTGATCTATAGAGCAAATTCTAAGACAGCCAGGGCTACACAGAGAAACCCTTTCTCAAAAATAAAAACACCAACACCTAAGACTCAGTGATCATTGCAGAAGAGGGGATCGGAACAATACAGGTCAGTTTGCTATTAGACTGTCTTCTAAGGAATGTCAGAAGATACACCATAAAGTCTTAACCAACATGGCTGCCTAAACATGAGCTGAACATGTTTAAGACAGCAGGAATAAACATGCTAACATGGATGCAGGGAAGCTCACAAGGCACCTGAGGAATGCCGAGAGTGGAGTGGTCTTCTCCAGGAAAGAACACATCAATTGTTTATGTAGTACCAGATGGTCAGCCCTGAAAATATACATTCAAGTAACGTATAGATCGAATAGGTTGTACTAACGGACTTAGGAATATATATACATATATGTATGTAACAATAATTAATGAAAAAAGAATCCATAAATATTTTAGTAGGAAGATATATTTAAAAGCACATGAATTTCATCACAAAATTGAAAATGCAATGTAAATGTTGAAAAATATTTTCCCATATTTACCCCCTCCCATTTTCAGTCTGATTGGGGAATTCTTTTTTTTTTTTTTTAATTTATTTATTACAATTTATTTACTTTGTACCTGCTGTAGCTCCCTCCCTTGTCTCCTCCCAGTCCCACCCTCCCTCCCTCTTCTCCCTCTATGCCCCTTCCCAAGTCCACTGATAGGTCCTCCTCCCCCTCCATCTGACCCTAGCCTATTAGGTCTCACTAGGGCTGGCTGCATCATCTTTCTCTGTGTCCTGGCAAAGCTGTACCCCAACCCCAGGGGGAAGTGATCAAGGAGCCGACCACTGAGTTCATATCAGAGACAGCCCCTGCCCCCCTTACTAGGGAACCCACTTGGGAACTGAGCAGCCTATGGGCTTCCTCTGAGCAGGGTGTTTAGGTCCTCTCCATGCATGGTCCTTGGTTGGAGTATTGGTCTCTGCAGGGCCCTCTGGGCCCAGGTTTTTTGAGAAGTCATGAATTTAAAGAGATCAAGGAGTATATGCCATGTGCAAGAATTTAAAGGGAGACAAGAGAAGAAATGATGTAACTATAACCTCAAAAAATAAAAGAAGTAATAAAAATAACCAGTAAACCAACTTAACAAATACAACCAAAAAATAATTGGACAGGAGGCAGAGGCAGGCAGAGCTGAGTTCAAGGCCAGCCTGATCTACATAGTGAGCTTCAGGGAAGCCAGAAGTACACAGTGATACCCTGTCTCAAACAAACAAACAAACAAACCTGGAGAATATTTAGAAAATGATACTTGAGGACAAAAAAAACTTTTTGAAGTCCCTAAATTCATCCTAAATAAATAGTATGCTGTGGTTTGGCTTAGAATTGGCCCTGATAAGTATTAACAATTTTGAAGATACAGAGGTCATGTTAAAAACCAGTTTAGGGTAGTAGGGCATGGGCAGTAGAAGCAGGAAGATATCCATGAGTTCAAGGCCAGTCTGGTCTACATAGTGAGGTCCTGGCCAGCCAGTGCTGCATAGTGAGACCTTGTCAAAAAAGAAAAAAAAAATTGGGGTCAGGTGTGTTAATGTGGTTTTTTCGTTTGTTTGTTTTAGTTTTTTGGGTTTTATTTTGTTTTGCTTTTTCAAGACAGGGTTTCTCTGTGTAGCCTTGGCTGTCCTGGACTCAGTTTATAGACCAAGTGGGACTTGAACTCATAGTGATCCACCTGCCTCTGCCTTCTTGAGTGAGTGCTGAGATTACAGGAGTTTACCACAGCGCCCAACTTTGTTTTAGGTCTTTGAAGACAAGGTTTCTCAGTGTAGGCCTGGCTTTCCTGGAACTCACTTTGTAGACCAGGGTGGCCTCAAACACAGAGATCTGCCTCCTGTGTATTGGGATTAAAGGCATGTGCCACCACCACCTGGCTATTAGTGTATATCTTCAATCCCAGCACTCTGGAGGCAGATGTGGACAGAGCTCTGTGAGTTCCAGAATAACCAGGGTTATATAATGAAACTGTTGTAAGAATTAAAAAAAATAAATAAATAAAAGTTTTGGGAAAAATATTTCTCATATAATTTACTAATTGTTTCTATGTTTGTTTGTAATGAATGAATGAATCTGCTTTACTCATAATTACTTTCTGAATTTTCATGTCAACTTTGACACATTACCTCTCTGGTCCATGTGGACTCCTCTGTAATATGAAATAGTTGGATTAGGTGGTTTGTAAATTCATTGTCATAAATAAGATTCCTTTGTCTCAGAAATGATTATTTTTTGTTATGTTTTAGGTGGGTGGGTTGGAGGTGAGATTGGCAACACCATCGAACGATATGATCCTGATGAAAATAAATGGGAAGTTGTTGGCAACATGGGAGTGTCACGGTACTACTTTGGGTGCTGTGAAATGCAAGGTAATGCTTTTATAAGATTTTTTTTTTCTATTCGGTTATCAGCAATACAGTATTTGTTATTTGCTATATATGTACGTATTGGGCTTAGAATTGACCTTGATTAGTATAACAATTTAAAGATACAGAAGTTATGTTAAAAAGTAGTTTTGGAGCTGGGCTCGATGATGCATGCTTGTAATCTCAGCACTTGGGAGGGGAGGCAGAGGCAAGCAGATGTCTGTGAGTTCAAGGCTCGTCCGGTCTACAAGACGAGTCCAGGACAGTCAAGGCTGCACAAAGAAACTCAATCTCAAAAGAAACAAAAACTTAAAAAAAAAAAAGTAGTTTTGGGGTGCTGGGCGTGGTGGTGCATACCTTTAATCCCAGCACTCAGGATGCAGAGGCAGGCAGATCTTTGTGTTTATGTATATGTGTATATGTATAAAAATCTATTTATAAAACAGTTTGAAATGTAGACAAGATGGCCCAATAAGTAAAGGAATTTTTTTTTTTTGATACAGGGTTTCTCTGTGTAGACTAGGCTGTCCTGTACTCAATTTGTCTTGGACAGGTTGGCCTTGAACTCACAGAGAAATATCTGCCTGTGCCTCCCTTAGTGTTGGGATCAAAGGTTTATACCACCACATGTGGCTGGTAAAGGAACTGATAACCAAATCTGACTGAGTTTGATTTCTGGAACCCACAGGGTAGAAGAGAACCAACTCCTGCAAACTGTCCACTGACCTCCATTCATGTGCTATGGCATGCACACACAGGTACATGTGACAGAAAAAGGAAATAGGTATAAATTAAAAAAACTATTTGAGGCCCTATTTTCACAATGTATTTTAGGTCTGTTGTTATAGGAATATTGTTAGTAGTGTAGAAGTTCTGGCTTTTACCTCTTGTATCATTGGTATTTTGTTTCTGTATTGCCAGAATAATTTTTCTGTAATAAAGAAAACTAAGTTAAAACTTAATATAGGGGATGGATATGGTGATGTACACCTTTAATCCCAGCACTTGGGAGGTTCAGGCTCCATTTCCCTGTCTGCCCGTTATGGTAAAATTGGCCCCCAACCTTGACTGGTGGATCCTGAGAGAGAAAGCAGGGCAGGAATGGCCAGGAATGAAAGAGACCTCAGGTATCTGTGAGTGGTTCGAGAAATAGACTTCTCAGGAGACGGCTTCATTGAGACAGCTTGTTTAATTTAGGGAGAACAAAGGCTCCTTAAACCTTTGAAGGGTAGGTAGGGGCTTTTCAAGGTGAGTGTACATTATTGGCCAGGGCCAGGATGCTGGGATGCCAGGGCCAGGATGTTGGGATGCTTCCTATGAGGCATCCTTGCATGAGGAGGAATTCCAGGTGTTTTTGGACATGACTTTATAAGGAAAGAGGAAGTTTAACCTGGCTACCAGGCTATGTGACCTCCTTGAGAGGGAAGGTAGAGAATAGATCTATGTGAGCTGGGCATGCAGGACCCAGGGCAGAGGGGCGAGCAGTCCTACTCCTTCCAATCTCAGGATGAGATTTCGGGGATTTGGACATGCCTCAACCCACTCTTATTCTGGACTGGCTCCTCTGCCCATTCACTCCATCCCATGGCTCCCTGGCTGTGGCATCTCTGTAAGTTGGAAGCCAGCCTGGTCTACAAAAAGAGACCCTGTCTCAAAAAACCAACCAAACAGACAAAAAAAGAAACTTCAGCTAGGTACTAGAGTAATGAATTAGTAGGTAAATGTGCTTCCTGTTTTTCCACAAGTAGGGAGAGAGTACCAAAATAATTTTTTAAAGACAGGGTCTTACTATGTAGCTCTAGTTATTGTTCTGGAACCCACTAAGTAGACCAGGCTGGCCTTGAACTCAGATCTGACTGCCTCTGTCTCCTCTGCTGTGATCAGAGGCATTTACCACCATGCCTCTGGTTGGTTTATATCTGTTCAATAGAAACTGAGCAGAAATCTTCCATTTTTCAGGTTTAATTTATATAGTTGGAGGAATCAACAATGAGGGGCTAGAGCTTCATTCTTTCGAAGTTTATGATCCACTTTCCAAGCGTTGGTCTCCACTTCCTCCCATGGGAACCAGAAGAGCATATCTTGGAGTGGCAGCACTCAATGATAGCGTCTATGCTATTGGAGGATGGAATGAGACACAAGATGTTCTTCATACTGTAGAAAAGTACTCCTTTGAAGAGGTAGGTTTGTTGACTTCAAATGTTTAGTGTCATATTTTCTTTTAATACCTATTAAATCTGTAGTGATCAGTTTTACTCATTATTTTGAACATTTCTCAACTTTTTTTTTTTAATTTTCTGTTTGTTTACTTTATATCCCAAGGGTACCCCCTCCCACCTCCCAGTCCCCCTCTTCTCCTTCCTCTTTCCCCTCTCCCTTTCCTCCCAGAAAAAAGGAGCCCTCCTCCTCCCGTATCAGCCTTCCCCAATCACATCAAGTCACATGAGGACTGAGCATATCCTCAGCCCCTGAGGCCTGGCAAGGTAGCCTTGCCAGGAGAAAGTGATCCAAAGCAGGCAATATAGTCCATGTTAGAAGCATACCCATCTCTACTTGCCAGGTGACCCACAAGAAGACCAAGCTGGCCATCAGCCACAGCCATGTATGTGCAGGGGGCCTAGGTCTAGACCATCATCTTTTCTCTCTCTCTCTCTCTTTTTTAAAGAAACAACTTTAGGCATCACTATTGAATTTTTTCTATTTTTATTTTTTCTTGTGTATGTTGGATTTTTGCTTTTTTCTAGTTAATTAAATTAGAAACTGAGATGACAGACTATAAATCTTCATTTTCTTATCTTTTATAGCTATACATATTCTTTTAAATTTTGGTGTGGGGTAGAGGGATTGTTCAGTGGTTAAGAGTACTGGTTGCTTTTGCAGGAGGTGACCCAGGTTCAGTTTCCAGCACCTGTGTGGTGGCTTACAACTATCTGTAACTCTAGTTCTAGAATATCCAACATCCTCTTTTTGCTTCCTTGGGCAGCAGGCCCAAGTGGTGTAAGACATACAAGAAGGCACAACAACTTAAATAACTTAAAATTTTTAAAATTTTTGTTGATTTGTATGTGCAAGTAGAAACACTGCTATATTACCAGTGTTATCTTTAGCTACCATTTTAACTTCATCCTACTTATTTGACAAGCTATTTTATTATGTTTTCATTTTTTAAACTTTATTGTTCTTTGTGTGTGTACATGTTGAGGCGACGTGAGTTTATGTGTACCACATGAATGCAGATGCCTTTGGAGATCAGAGAGCAGTGGGTCCCCTAGAAGTTAAGTTATAGACAGTTGTGGGGTATCAAATTTGGGGACTAGGAATGAAAACTGGGTCCTCTAATAGCAGTGAGAATTCTTAATCACTGAGTTATTTCTTGAGGACTTGTATTTTAATTAGTATTTACCTTAAAATATTTTCTAATTTCTCTAGTAATTTTTATTTGGACCTGTGGGTTGTTATAATTATCTTACTAGTTTGGGAGTAATAACTAAGTAGTAAATTGCACACTTAGCCACTGTGAGTCCATGGGTCCAATCCACAGCACTAACATGAAAATATATAAATGTATATATTATTTAATTTACCAACATGTAAAGATTTTTAGGTATCTTTTTGTTTTTTGTTTTGTTTTGTTTTTCAAAACAAGGTTTCTCTGTGTAACCAGGGCTTTCCTGGAACTCACTATGTAGACCGGGCTGGCCTTGAACTCAGATTGCTTCTTCCTCCTGGGATTAAAAGCATATATTACCACTGCCTGAGGCTTTTCTAGGCATCTTTTAATTACTAATTTCTATTTCTTTTTAAATTTTCATTTAATTTTACTTATTTATTTATTGTGTGTATATATGTGTGTTTGTCTGTGAGTGTGTGTAGTTTCCACATCGTGTATGTGAAGATCAGAGGACCATTTATAGGAGTTGGTTCTCTCTTTCCATTATGTGGATCCTAGGGATTGGATTCTAATTGTTGGCCTTGGTGGTACATACCTGTACCTGCTGAGCTACCTGGGCAGTTTGAATTATATTTTGTATTTTACAATTTTTTAAGTATTTAATATTATTGTGTGTATGTACCAGTTCCTATGTTTTTTTAAGACAAGGTCTTGAACATGTGGTGGTGTCACTATCTTTAATCCCACAACTTGAGAGGCAGAGGCAGGTGGATATCTGAGTTTGAGGCCAATCTCAGTTCCAAGACAGCCAGAGCTCCACAAAGAAACCCTGTCTTGAAAAAACAAATAAATAAGGAAAGAAATAAAATAAAGGTTTGTTTATATTTATGTGTGTATGTCTGTGTGCCTTCCATGTGTGTTCAGATATCCGAAGAGGTCGGGTGTGAATAAAAGTCCCTAGGAGTTGTGGGTATAGGTGGTTGTGAGTCACCAGATATGGGTCCTGGGATTTGAATTCAGGTCCTTTGGAAGTAGCAAGTGCTCTTAACTAATGACCCATCTTTCCAGCCTCTTTTCTTTCCCTGCATTTATATATTTTAATTTATTTTTCTTATTATTACTATTTTTTGAAACAGTCTCATCATGTTTCATTGGCTGTCTGGAAACTTACTGTGTGGACCAAGCTGGTCTTCAACTCCCTGGAATCTCCCTGCCTTTTCATCCCAAGTACTGGGTTTAAAGGAATGTACCATCACAAGTGGCTGCCTCTTTTTTTAAGAAATAATTTCTGGGGCCGAGGAGATAGATCATCAGTTTAGAGCAGTTACTGCTCTTCCAGAGGGCCTGAAATCTGTTTTTAGCACCCATATCAGGCAGCTAATAACAACCTGTAACTCCTAATTCCAACACCCTCTGAACTCCATTAGCACTTACCTACATGTAGTGCACATAAACATGCATGTAGAAACAATCAGCTCATGTGACTGTGACATTCTTCTCTCTCTCTCAGGCTGGTTTCATAACTGGTCTGCAGCTCTCTGGCAGATAATCCTACAACTCTGGCATCATCATCTTGGGATCCAAAGAAATTCAGGCTGCACCTTTACAGCTTCATGCAGTGGCCTCTCTGGTCCTCCAGACAGGGACAACCCTGACACACACCTGGCCTCAGCGGCTAAAGCCATAGATACTGCAAAACCCTTTTCTTGTATCCTTGACTCTAAAGCTAGAATCACATGGCTAAAGCTGCCAAGTTTTCCTGCTTGATGGGGCTGGAATTTGTTCCTGTTGTTCAGTTACATTTGCATCAGCTTTCAGTTGGTGATGGTTTCCTTCACTGCTTAAGCTTTTCTTTAATTCCTTTTCACAAGTTAGAAGCTTAGCTTGGTGGGATCTTACTACTCCCTGTACTTCATGTAACACCAGGCCTAAAAACAAAACAAAACAACAACAACTTTGTATCTCCTTGAGCACTGTACTTAGCTTCATTTCAGTTCTTGGTGCTCCTTTTTCCTTCTCAAACTATATTTAAAAAAAAAAAAAATTCCAGGCTGGAGATACAGCTCAGAGGTTAAGAGCACTGGCTGCTTTTCCAGAGGACCTGAATTCAATTCCCAGCAACCACATGGTGGCTCACAGTCATCTAGAATGAGATCTGGTGCCCTCTTCTGGTGTGCAGGTGTACACGCAGACAGAAGATTATATAAATAATGAATAAATCTTTTAAAAAAAACATGAAAATAAACTTTTTTCCTTGCTCACTTGCTCCTTTTCATTGTAGAGCTGCAAAAGAGTGACCACTAGTAGCCATGCAGCACAGCTGATACTAGGCTGTCTTGAAACCTCTGCCAGCGCTAATTATCTCACTCTTCAGTTTAGCCTTGAGCAAGGTTTTAGGACAGGGACAGAAAGCTGCTACATTCTCCACCAAAATATCACAAGAATGAGTTGGGCTTGGTGGCACATGCCTATAATCGCAGCACTCAGGGAAGCAGAGGCAGGCAGATTGCTGTGAGTTCGAGGCCAGCCTGGTCTACAAAGCAAATCCAGGACAATCAAGGCTACATAGAAAAACCCTGTCTTGAAAATCCAAAAATAAATAAATAACTGAAAAAATAAATATCACAAGAATGGGTTCTGGGCTACTTACTAATATATTCTTCCTCTCTGAAACATATTGGGGCAAGCCATCATAATTTTTATTCCTACTAGTGAGAGACCAAAGGATAAAGTAGCAGCTATGGTTAAAACCTAGAGTAGGTGCAGTAAAAAGTTAGTAATGCCCTGAGGGGAGAGCTACCTCACAGCATTCTTTCCCCACCCACTAGAGATACAGTTGCTAGGAAACTGGACCCTCCCCCTAGGGAGGGACACCTGGTCATGGTCAATGGTCTGGGAACCTTCCTATAGCCAATCGATTCAAAATGTAGCATCTTGACCAATAGATGCTTGCCAGGCAATTCCTGCCTGGCAAGCATCTA